CTCGGTCCACGAGGCAATTACAGCCATGATTTCGTGGGCTGAAGGTGTTATTTCGGTGGCGGAGCCTCCGATTATGTCTGATGGTTCGGAATCTGGGGGTGTGTTCGGATCCAAGCTAGTGTTGCCGGACTCCCCTTCCCATACCACGGATGGTTTCAACAACCTTTCCAGGAATATGTTAGGTGCGACAGGGTCGCGTTTAGCACCGATGCGAGCGAGGATATCCGCCGCTTGATTGTTTTCTCGAGCCACATGGTGGAATTCGATCCCCTCGAACCGAGCTGAATTTTGAGGACGGCATTATGGTATGCCGCCATTTTTGGATCCTTGGCATCAAAGTCTCTGTTTATTTGTGATATTGCGAGGTTTGAATCCCCGTGCACCTCCAGGCGTTGAATGCCCATAGAGACCACCATTCCAAGACCGTGCAACAGAGCCTCGTATTCGGCTGCGTTGTTGGAGTCTATGTATAATATTTGGAGTACGTATTGGACCGTATCTCCGGTGGGAGACGTCAGGACTACACCTGCTCCCAATCCGGCCAGCATTTTAGAGCCGTCGAAGTGCATGATCCAGTTAGAGTATGCGCCGTACTCTTTAGGGAGTTCAGCTTCTGTCCATTTGGCGACAAAGTCAGCTAGTACTTGCGACTTGATGGCCCGCCGTGGCTTGTATGTTATGTTGAACGGAAGGAGCTCGATGGCCCATTTAGCAATTCGGCCCATAGCGTCGCGGTTATTTATTATGTCATTGAGTGGTACTTCGGAGGCCACCGTAATCGAACACTCTTGAAAGTAGTGTCGTAGCTTCCGGGATGCCATGAAGACCGCGTATGCTATCTTTTGATAGTGTGGGTATCGGGATTTGCATGGGGTGAGGACCGTGGATACGTAGTATACTGGCTTCTGGAGCGGGAATTTGTATCCGTCAGCCCCTCGTTCGACGACGAGCATTGCGCTTACAACTTGATGTGTTGCAGGTATGTATAATAGCATAGATTCGCCAATATTTGGCGTTGTTAGGACTGGATTACTGGATAGTAAGGTCTTTATTTCGTCCAGTCCGGCCGCGGCCGCATCCGTCCACACGAAGTGTTCGGTGCGCCAAAGAAGGTGGTAATGAGGTAATGCCTTTTCTCCTAACCTGGAGATAAAGCGGCTTAAGGCAGCCATGCATCCAGCTAGTTTCTGGATGTGCTTGAGGTCTGTTGGTATAGCCAACTGCGACAGAGCTCGGATTTTTGCCGGATTCGCTTCAATTCCTCTATTGGAAACAATGAAGCCGAGCAGTTTCCCAGAGGGGACGCCGAAAACACATTTTTCCGGGTTCAGCTTGATGTCATATGTTCGGAGGTTATCGAATGTAAGCCTCAAGTCGTCTATTAGGTTTTGATGTGTCTTGTTTTTTTGACCACGTCGTCCACATATGCCTCCACTGTTTTGCCGATTTGCTTTTCCAAGCATGTTTGAATCATGCGTTGATAGGTTGCGCCGGCGTTTTTAAGCCCGAAAGGCATAGTGTTGAAGCAGAAAGGACCGTATGGCGTCATGAAAGCCGTTGCAGCTTGATCGGACTCTGCCATCTTTATTTGATGGTATCCAGAGTATGCGTCGAGGAAACACAGCAAGTCATGTCCTGTTGTGGCGTCGATGATTTGGTCGATGCGAGGGAGGGGGAAGGGATCCATGGGAAAGCCTTGTTGAGGTCTTTGAAGTCGACGCATAGGTGCCAGGATTTGTCCTTCTTTGGTACCATTACCAGATTTGCCAGCCAATCCGGATGCTTGATATCTCTGATGAATCCGGCCTCGAGTAGCTTGGCTAGCTCTTCCCCCATGGCCTGCCGTTTAGGCTCTGAAAAATGCCTTAGAGTCTGCTTAACAGGCTTGTATCCTTTTAGTATATTGAGGCTGTGTTCGGCCAGTCTGCATGGGATGCCCGACATGTCCGAGGGGTGCCAGGAAAAAATGTCACAATTCTCGCGTAAGAAGTCTCGCAGTGCGGCGTCCATTGCGGGGCTCAACTATGTACCGATGGAAGCTGTCTTCGTGGGGTCCGTTGGATGGACCTGGAATTTGACTATCTCATCTGCGGGTTTAAATGAGGTGGACTTGGGTCGCTTGTCGAGTATCACGTCGTCCCTGTCCATGGTGGCACGCAGCGTTGTTAGTTCTTCGGCTGCTAGGGCTTCGGATAATGCTTCCAGGGCTAGTGATGCGGTTTTGTTTTCGGCGCGAAGTGCGACGTCCGGGTCACTGGCTAGAGTGATGATTCCATTGGGTCCGGGCATTTTAAGCTTCATGTACCCGTAATGGGGTATAGCTTGAAAGCTTGTAAACGCGTCCCGCCCTAGAAGGGCGTGGTATCCACTGCTGAAAGGAGCCACTTGGAATGTTATTTCTTCGGACCTGTAGTTCTCTGGAGTGCCGAATACCACATCGAGTGTGATGTTTCCCGCACAGCGTGCTTCCCGACTAGGGATGATTCCCCTGAAGGTTGTGCCGCTTTGCTCAATGCGGCTTTTATCAATTTCCATCTTGCTGAGTGTTCTTCGTAGATCAAGTTTAATCCGCTTCTGCCGTCCATGAGTACTTTAGTGAGCCAAAAGCCGTCTACGATTGGGCTAAGGACCAAAGCGGCTGGTGCTCGGACTGTTTGGAATTGAGGTTCATCACTGGCACTGAAAGTTATAGAAGTGTCATTCCACGGATTTATTTTTGCCACGTGGCAGATTTCAACAGAGCTTCGATGAGCTCGCTTGCGCCTATTGTTTGAGGCGAAAGTCTCGAAGACTGTTAGTACCATATTATTTTCTTTGGCGGGATGTTGTTCTGCTTTATGGCTTATAAGAAGATCCTCGCCACTTTTTGCTACCTGCCGGAGAATCCAACATGCTCTAAGGCTATGTGTTGGTGTAGTGTCCGGCGTGCTGTGGAGTTTACATGGCCCATTGAGCCATTCTTCCAATACGGTTCCATGCCCTGGGGTGAGCTTTGGTTTCTTGGTGATTGGATCGGCTGACTTACGAGAGTTTGCCCGTTTAGCTCGGACAAAGGTTTTAGTGAGAGCCGGACTATCCCAAAATTCTGTTTGGGTTTTCGAGGCGCTTTCCATCGCACAGTACTTCTGTACTATGGTTGCCAAGTCAGCAAAGTGTACTATGTCATGGCGACTTATGGCATTAAGGATTCCTTTGTTCGTGCAGTTTTTGCAGAAAAGTGAGACTGCGTCCTCCTCACGACAGTCCTCGACCTTGTTTAACACAAGGAGGAATCTGGCCCAGTAGCGATGTACTGTCTCTTGGGGCTCTTGTCTGTTATGGGAGAGAGGGTTTAAGTACGGGTGGGCAGGTGTAGCTGAATCTGGATTCTCATCCGATCTAACGCCCTGGGGCAGGAGAGCTTCCGGGCTTGATGGCTCGGTATCCGGGGTGCTGCCCAATTTCTCCGGCCCGATACCCGATTCTAAGTCGGGGGTTTGGGTCATGTCTTACCTTGAGCGGGTGTCCGGCTCAGGGAGCTCGGTGATCCCGACATGACTCGTCCTCAAAATAGAGGGGTAATCCGTATGTGGCTCCTCCACTACCGCTATCTCGTGGGTGACCGGCGGGGATTTAATGTCCCTTTGGTCGGGTTTAAGCCCGATCCGGTCATAGTCTGTGACGACTCCCGAAGCGGCGATGCGATCCAAGAGCTCATTGAGGGAGGAGAGCTCCATTGGATCCATCTGTTCGGCGAGTTCCGAATTGACGCGGAGGCTATGCGTGATGACCCGAGAGGTTATCGTCAGCGCGATAGCCGATGGGGCAGCCATGATGAAGCCGCCTAGTCGGAGAGCTTGGCCTACAGCCAGCGCTCCCCCAGAGGTGATGTTGTCCTTGACAACGAGACGGGCCATCGAGCCTTGCAGCGACGACACAGAGGAACTCTCAATGAAAGCACCAATGTCGGTGTCAAAACCTGGATCTAGGGTAGGAGGTCCCGATCTGTGCGTTTTAGGCTAATGGTAACAGGAGGCAAGGGACACAATGTTTACCCAGGTTCGGGCCCTCTCGATGGAGGTAAAACCCTACTTCCTGCTTGATTGATATTGATGATATGAGTAGTACAAGAGTTGATCTACCACGAGATCGTAGAGGCTAAACCCTAGAAGATAGCCTATTATGATTGTGATCGTCCCTCTAAGGACCAACCTCTCCGGTTTATATAGACACCGGAGAGGGCTAGGGTTTACATGGAGTCGGTTACAAAGAAGGAAGTATAATATCCGGATGGCCAAGCTTGTCTTCCACGCAAAGGAGAGTCCCATCCGGACACGGGACGAAGTCTTGAGTCTTGTATCTTCACGCTCCAATAGTCCGGACAAAGCATATAGTCCGGCTGTCCGGATACCCCCTAATACAGGACTCCCTCACTGACCCAATAGGAAGATTGAGGAGCCACGAGCCCGCGCCGTCCTTGAGGGCCATGGGAAACCAGTTTGCCATGCCCTTCTCATCGCCGTTGGCCGCCTCGATGCTCAGCTCCAGGAACTCCGCAGGGTCGGGATGCCGTTGTAGCGTGGAGGCATGTGAGTCCATTACTAATGCTTATAATCTTCTAAGTCTTCCATTTCTGAAAACTAAAAACCTGACATGTGAGTCCATTACTAATACCACCCTCTTTTTCTTCATTGACAAATACTACCATTTCATGGTAAAAGTGGACGGGCGCGACAACGTGCGCCTTCAATGATTTAGTTGTCTGAGACGAATGAGAACCTCACGCTTGATGGCTACTTTCTGTGTTAAAAGAAAAAGACTTAGCAACTGGGTCGTGATTTGATCAAAATCCCAACCATGTACACCTATACATCCAACCAGAAATGAGAATCGAAACATGATTTATAATTTATTTCTCGACACAGAATTATCAATATAGTACAGTCTCGGACCCTTATCAGAAGTTGAGAACATCGAAACAGTAGAGTAGCATTATTAGGAGATCGCCATTCATCAACACATCAGCGCTCAGCGGGCGTGTCACGTTGGTACACGAACCGTCCGAGGACTCGCATCAGCTCGTCGGCCGCCTCGGCGAACGGCTGAAGGACAGAGAAGCCATGCTGCTGTCCCTCGAACTCGACAAGCTCCACGTCTTTCCCCATGTCCTTGAGCCTCGCCGCGTACCCCAGCACGCGGTCACGGAGCACGTCGCCCAACGGCGCCACGACGAGAGCCGGCGGGAGCTCCACCGGCGCGAGGCTGGGGCTCTCCGGCCCGAACGGGTTGGCCACCGGGTGGTCCCTGGTCGCTCCGACCGGAAGCGACATGTGCCAGAGCTGCTCGCATATCTCCACAGGCAGGGTCACGCCCGTCTGCTGGTCGGCCTCCGACGCCGTGCGCTCGGCGCCGCCGAAGAAGGCGGAGAGGAGTACGTACCCGACGACGCGCACGGGGCTGACTGGGAGCCGCGCCGTGGCGACCTGGACGGTGAGGTGGTGGGCTAGGTTGGCGCCCGCCGACACGCCGGAGATGAAGGTCCGGGCGAAGTCCGCCGACGCCGCGAGCCACGGGTCGCCGCCGGTGCCGAGCTCGGCCTGGCCGCGCAGCCAGGAGAGGAATTGCGCGCCGTCGTCGATGGCCGCCGGGAGGCGGTGCTCGGGGGCGAGGCGGTACTGCACGGACAGCACGACGGCCGGGAGCTCGGCGGCGGCGCGGAGGCAGAACGCGTGGAAGGTCGGCTGCGAGAAGGAGCCGAGGCAGTAGCCGCCGCCGTGGAAGTACACCAGCACCGGGAGCTTGACGCTGCCGGCCACTGACGACGCCGACGCCGGCCTGTAGACGCGGACACGAAGGCCGTGCGCCGCGTGGTACACCACGTCCTTCCATTCCACGCCGGGGACGTCCGGGAGCGGCTCCTTTGGCCCGAGGACGGACTCGTCGCCGCGGACGACGGAGCCGTCGCTGAGGAGCTGGACGATGCCGAGGAGATCCTCCACGACGTGCGGTGCCGTGTCGCCGGCCATGGTGTGAGTGTGATACGGAATTACGGATACGGTCGATGGTTGCCGCCCAGGTCGTCGCGGTTTATGGACGTTGTGTGGCAGACTTTAGTAGAGGCGGGATCCACGTGGTTACTTCTTCCCGTGCACCACTCTGGATCTTGGATCTGTGACAGCTTCGGCCTTCTCGAGGATGACTGGTTCCACACTTCAATGCCGTGGGAAGAAAGATAAACGAGCTCCGGGAAAAAAAAAATAGACTAGCCGTTGAAAAACGAAAATGCTGGATTACGGATCAGGACGTTTTTTTTTCTAACACAGTACAGACTCACAATGATACATAAGCATATAAACTCATCCCTACGTCTTTTTCATGGTCGATAGAACGTCTACCTGCACTGAACGCACATCACTTAAACTCTGATGGGCAGGGGTTACCATCGCCATCCTAACCATTGAACCACATGCTGGTTCGTATTTGCTCTTAAGTTTTGGTACCGATAATCCTACACCTAGGGAGAAGCTACAAAATTCTAACGTAACCTTTCTAAAAAATTCTCTCCCACCCATCCCATCCCCTCCCCTAAAAATTTCCCAAGATTGCTTAAGATTCAGCTTTGTGTATCACAACTTCCCAAGATTGCTCAAGGTTCAGCCCCAAACGGGGTGGCAGTGCGATTGGTGGTACTGTCGTGATAAATCAATGGGAAGGCATCTGTTTTCTTTGTGCAGCTGCGGTGATGAATCGAAGATTCTTCCAATTATGTTTTTGGCGTGTCTCGGTTGAGTCGTTCCAGAAAAATATCTTCTTCTTTTTTTGCATCAACAATATCTTTATTTTGAGGAGTGGATTTTTTTGTAAAGAAGGATGATCCCTGGCCTTTGCATTAAGGCGGTGCATGCAACTATATTTTGAGTTGTTTACCAAGGCATTACAAAATGCTCCCTCCGTCTCATAATATAGGAGCGTTTTTTACACTAGTGTAGTGTCTCTTATATTATGGGGCGGAGGGAATAATAAATCAGTAAGGCTGAAGCCATCATCTTGGCATCGCTACTCCTATCAAATTGATGAAGGGATGCAGATTGTCTGAACAAATACCCAGACAACACACCAAAACCCAATATCTAAAGTCGGAGGGCCCAACCAAGCTACTAGCCGGGACTAGGCACACACCAGTCCAACAAACTCTCAACGACCCTAAAAAAACCAGTCCAACAAACTCTCAACGACCACTGCATGCGCCCGCTACAGAGGCCGCTGCCATCGTCTTTCACTGATTCATCTTCAAAGCAGGTACTGACGCATCAACCTTGTCATGTTTGCCGTCGACGCCACCACGACGCTAGACAACGCCTCCTTCCTACGCATGTCCATCATCACACATCCGTTGTCGAGGCCCTGATGCGTCACGCACCCGAGATTCCACATCATAGATGTGTCACATGAAACACCGCTCCACCTTTGGAATCGTCCACTGGTCCTCGAGCCAATGCACACCTTCAAGAATGACGCCTATAAGGGGGGAACGACACAAGAGCGCCGCTGTCATCTGATCAACTGATCTAGGGTTTTCACCGAAGGTAGCGGATAGGGGTCTAGAGCTTCTCCACAGCGATGCTTCAAGAAGTGGAATGACGCAGAGGAATACCGCCATCGCCGGCCTTGGCAACGAGCCGAGAGTTGGGTTTTCTCTCGGATCCGCTCGAGGAACCTGCATCCAGCCTTGTGTGCACAGGACCGCCACCGATCTTCGCACCCACATAGTAAGCGGGCCGCATTGGTGAGATCAGATCTGACCGGAGACCAGACCACGCATGCAGTCCATCCACCAAGCCCTCCACGCCGCCGTCGCCGATCCGAGGTCAGATTTGCCGCCACCGACCATAGCCATGACCGCCCCCTGAAGCAGGGTCAGCCAGGGGGTGCACCACCCCCACGCTGCGGGAGCGAGGGAGACCCCGCCGCCGATAGCATCCCCCAGCAGCAGGGGGGGAGGAAGTAGATCGCGGCCCCAGCGGCTAGGGTTGTTGCCCGCTCGAGTCGCCCGACGCGCAGGGTCAGGAGTGACGCGGATGAGTGGTCAAGTATATGTTGTTATGTGAGGAATCACGGGGATTTTGTTAGAATTGACAATTTTGTACTGTACAAATTTGAAGTAGTTCTTGATCAGAGTATATGACTGAACGTCCATCAAGAAATGAAAGTTGCAAGTAGATTTATTTCTACAAAAGCGAGGCAATCCCAGTGCGGTTCTGCTGCTCGTTGAGAACTGGCATCAAAATGCATCACTAGGTTCAATAACGGGATTTCCATGCAACACGCAAGCATCAGGCAAATCGCAACTCATCACCGCTCAGTTGCCGCTGTAGACGAACCGCTTGATCACCCGCAGCAACTCGTCGGCCGCCTCGCCGAACGGCTGGCGGACGGAGAAGCCATGCTGCTCTCCCTCGAACTGGACAACCTCGACGGCCTTCCCCATGTCCTTCAGCCTCGCCCCGTACCCCAGCACGCGGTCGCGGAGCACGTCGCTCAAAGGCGCCACGACGAGCGCCGGCGGAAGCTCCACCGGCGCGAGGCTCGGGCTCTCCGGCCCGAACGGGTTGGCCAGCGGGTGGTCCATGCTCGCCCCCACCGGCAGCGACATGCGCCAGAGCTGGTCGGCCATGGCGGTCGTCAGGGACACGCCCGCCGGCGGGTCGGCCTCCGTTGCCGTGCGATCGGCCCCGGCGAAGAACGCGGAGAGCAGGATGTACCCGACGATGCGCACCGGGGTGGTGGCGATTTCCCCCGACGCGACCTGGACCGTGACGTGGTGGGCCAGGTTGGCACCCGCCGAGTGGCCGGAGAGGAACGTCCGGGCGAAGTCGGCCGACTCCGCGAGCCACGGGTCGGCGCCGGCGCCAAGCTCGGCCTGGCCGCGCAGCCAGGACAGGAAAGACGCGCCGTCGTCGATGGCCGCGGGGAGGCGGTGCTCGGGGGCGAGGCGGTACTGCACGGACAGCACGACGGCCGAGATCTCGGCTGCGGCGCGGAGGCAGAACGAGTGGAAGTTGGGCTCCGCGAACGAGCCGAGGCAGTAGCCGCCGCCGTGGAAGTACACCAGCACCGGGAGCTTGCTGCCGCCGGCCACCGACGACGCCGGCCTGTACACGCGGACACTAAGGCCGTGCGCCGCGTGGTACAGGACGTCCTTCCACTGCACGCCGGGGACGTCCGGTAACGGCTCGTTTGAACGGAGGACGGCTTCGTCGCCGCGGACGACGGAGCCGTCGCTGAGGAGCTGGACGACGCCGAGGAAGTCCTCCACGACGCGCGGTTCCGTGTCGCCGGGCATGGTGTGTGGCCGTGAAGTGATCGATCGATGCCGTCGAGGCCGTCAGATGAGATCTATAGCAGCAGGCGAGCGTTTCCTGCTTGTTTTGTCGACGGGGACGAAGGATCGGCGAGAGACTTGTTGGGGTGCACGTGTCTAGCGGCTCAGCCACCTACCGCTGTGCTCCGTTCCAAATCCACAATAAATGCACTTCTACGATGCACACTAGGCACTAGGCAGCATACTTCTACCGGTGTGCTTATTATTTCCTTTGAAAAATGCAGTATTTTCGTATATACCAGGAATATTTTAATGCCTTTAATATTATCAAATACATGATTAACATATTTTCCAAATGCACCTTTTGATGTCTAGTTTTTTGATGCATTTTTTACATTATTTTGTGTAGATAAGGAACATTTCTCTAGACATTTAGTATATTTATAAATACATGATTAACATTTTTTAAATACAAATTTTGATATCTTTTTTCTCACACATATTTGAAAATTTTCTCTATACATATAAAACATTTTTCTATACAAGTTTTATATTATAAATTACATTATTAACATTTATCCAAATATATCTTTTGAAGTCTACTTTTTTCATGCACATTGTACATTTCTGTATACACCTAAAACTTTTTAATACAAGTTAACATGTCTCAAATAAATGATTAACATTTTTCCAATGACATATTTAAAAAAAATTAAATACATGTTAAACATTTTTAAATAAATGCTGAAATTTTTTAATGCATTTTGAAAAACAATACTAACATTTTTTATAATGAATATTATCTCAAAAAACATCACTTACACAGTATATTTTAAATACTTGACAATTTTTTGAGTGATATGGAAACTTGTTTTTACTATGCAAACATGTCTGTAATATTGTATACACATTTCAGAAAAACCTTGTAGAACTTTTTGGAATACGGGGCATTTTTTATTTGTCATTTTCAATCTGCATTTTGAAAAACCTTGTAGATCCTCCTGAAGTTGATGTGTGTCTGCATTTTCAATCTCCTTGTATGTCTGAAGAAAAGCTCTAATGCGGTTAGGGTCTCTAACTGGTTTGACACGGCTACCCACATTGTCGTAGAAGAATTCCAAGTTCATTCCACTCTCATCTTCAAGAATCATATTGTGAAGGATAACACAACATGTCATGATATTTTTCAATGTTTTCTTATCCCAAAAACGAGTAGGACCACGGACAATGGCAAATCTACATTGCAAAACACCGAATGCTCTTTCAATGTCTTTTCGAGCTGCCTCTTGCACCCTTGCAAATTCACACTTTTTTTAGTTTTGGGTTATTTGATGCTCTTGACAATATGCACCAAGGAGGGTATATACCATCTGCAAGATAGTACCCTTTTATGTATTCATGCCCATTGATAGTGTAGTTGCAAGCTGGAGCATCACCATTAGCAAGCCTAGCAAACAAATGAGACAGTTGCAACACATTGATATCATTGAAGTGCCCGGCATACCAAAGAAGCAATGCCAAATCCATAAATCCTCAGATGCTACGGCCTCTAGCACAATTGTTGCATCATGAAACTTGCCACAATACATTCCTTGCCATGCCTTCAGGCAAATTTTCTATGTCCAATGCATACAATCAATGCTACGTAGAATGCCAGGCAACCTCTCCTCTCATTAGATGCCATCAATTTCTTTGTGTCATCCTCGTTGGGTGCCCGAAGATACTCAGGACCAAAGACACGGACGATCACTTTTGCAAATCTATGCACGAACTCAATTGTAGTATCTTCATCAATGCGAAGGTACTCATCGGCATAGTCAACTGGAACGCCATATGCAATCACCCGCATAACTGCGAAGATTTTTTGATATGCACTAAATCCCTTTAAGCCCGCATCATTTCTTCTTTGAGTAAAATACCGGCAATTTGCCTCGCAAGCTTGAACAAGTTTCACAAAAAGAGATCGGCGCATTCGATACCTTCTCCGGAAGAGGTGTGGTGGGTATGTAGGATTCTCCACGAAGTAGTCTTACATCAACATCTCGTTCCCAAGATGACGATTCCGAGGAATGCAAAGACGCCCGACGGTCGATCCTGGCCTTCTCTTCCGGTTCTGGTCTTCGTGCTCTTTCACGACAAGTGCCATGACTAATGTCTGCTGCCGAAAGTTGGCAATCATGGTCTCAACATCCGTGTCGTCTGAATCGGACGAATCGGTGAGCAAGAACTTCTCGCACGTGCTCAAATCCATCTACATGCACACCAGCGCGTCAATGAACTACATCGCTCGCTCGCAAAGATCACAAAATACACACTAACTGGCGGAGGATGCGGCGGGTGATCCCGGGCGGCGACGAGGGGCGGGTTCGGCGGTGGTCGATCCCCGGCGGCGGCGGCTACGAGGGCGCTCTTCTCGCCGGAGCCGGGGGGATGGTGCAGCATGACGGCGTGGAAGGATAGTGGGTGGCCCCGCGGCGCGTTTCTACCCGTAGATTTGGCGGAATCGCCGGCGGCGGAGGGGCGAAAACAAAGGTGGGCGACAGAAGAGGACGGGGAAAATGCGCGCGGGCTGAAATATCCCTCCTGCCAACTACTTCTATGTGATGCAGGGCACCGCAACCGCGACGGGGAAACCCGCATATTCGCGGGTTGGGGCCCGGATTTGCCGCGCCCCCTAAAAATTTTTGCGGGCCAGGGCATGATGCGGGGTCTGACCGGGCAGGTTTTTCGGGCCCGACCCGCATTTTGGCGGTTATTTTCCGGGTCGGGGCGGGATGCGGGGTCTGCTAGAGTTGCTCTTATAGTGTCCAATACAAGGTGCACACTAACCTATCCATTGGGCGAGCCCATTAGAACCGGTTGGCTGTAATATTTTCCTTTTACTTTCCCTTTTTATTTGTATTTCATTCTTATTTAACTTTGGATATAAAGATTAACTAAATGTTTATGTAATTTCAATTTCTTTAAAAATATTTGTCATCTATAAAAATCACATAGTGAAAGCAATATTCACGCATTTTAAAAAATATTTGTGAAATGGAAAAGATATATTCATGAAGTTTTTAAAAAGTGTCCAAGCTTACAAAAAATAGCACAATTGAAAAATCTTCATGTAGTTAAAAAAGTGTTATAGCGTGTCAAAGTTGTCCACATATTTTATGATCTGTTAACACATATTAGAAATGTTTCTGCATATAAAAAAATATCTACATCTTACAAATTAAAAATTATTCTTTTTTTAAATGTCCACGCATGCTTTAGACAAATACATTTGTGTATCATTCGACAAGCTTAGTTATGTATGTATATATGACTAATGTTTTGTACTCTTTGGAGTATGCATTAGGTTTTTTATCAGTTAAAAGAAATTAAAAGGTGAGATGGTGAAAGTGCAACTAATCCCCGGGTGGTTTTGGTAATTCATAACAACATATAGCTCATTGAACTAATATCTATTAAAGTTAAATATTTCAGAAAGTTTAATGATTGCCATGGCATGGACTAGAGATGTGGACCCCTCAAAATGCTAAAGACAAAGATTGGCAAAAGCTCAAGACTCTTTCATATTCATTTTAGTGATCCAAGATCACATTGAGTCCATAGGAAAAGGCAATACTATTAAAAAGGGGATGAAGTGTTCCTTAATGGTCTACTTACTCAAAGTGCTTAGTGATATTGCTCCAAAATCCTCAGCCACTTTCTCATTTCCACATATGTCAAAAACCCAAAGTCAAACTCGGCCCCATTGATTTGATCTAAACGACGCCATCGAGTTCAGTTGACATAGTCACTGCCAGAAACCCTAGACGATTCGGTCTCACCGATACAGATCTTGATCTCACCGATATGGCCTTGCAATCTCTCTGTTGCTTGTTGTAATTATTTTGGTTTCACCAAAAATATGCAATCGATCCCACCGAGTTTGCTTCACATCCTTTATGTTGCCTTATTGGTTCACTTTGGTCTACATGAGTTAATGTAATCGGTGCCACCGAGTTGATGTTTTCCCTAAGCCCTAGCACATCGGTCCCACCGAGTTGGTCATGTCGGTCGCACCAAGGTTCCTAATGTTCACATTTTGAACTAATCGGTCTCATCGAGTTCCTCTATTCGGTCTGACCGAGTTTGGTCAAATGTGTGTAACGGTTGAATTTTGTATGGAGGCTATATATACCCCTCCACCCCCATCTCCATTTGTGAGAGAGCCATCAGAACGTGCCTACACTTCCACTACTCATATTCTGAGAGATAACCACCTACTCATTGTTGAGACCAAGACATTTCAATCCAACCACAAGAATCTTGATCTCTAGCCTTCCCCAAGTTGCTTTCCACTCAAATCATCTTTCTACCATAGCAAAAACTGTGAGAAAGAGTTGAGTGTTGGGGAGACTATCATTTGAGCACAAGAGCAAGGAGTTCATCATCAACACACCATCTATTACCTTTTGGAGAGTGGTATCTCCTAGATTGGTTAGGTGTCACTTGGGAGCCTCTGACAAGATTGTGGAGTTGAACCAAGGAGTTTGTAAGGGCAAGGAGATAGCCTACTTCGTGAAGATCTATCCGAGTGAGGCAAGTCCTTCGTGGGAAATGGCCATGGTGGGATAGAGAAGGTGGCTTCTTCGTGGACCCTTCGTGGGTGGAGCCCTCCGTCGACTCGCGCAACTATTACCCTTCGTGGGTTGAAGTCTCCATCAACATGGATGTACTACAGCACCATCTATCAGAACCACGCCAAAAATATCCATGTCTACATTGTGTTTGCCTTCTCCAAACCCTTCCCTTTACCTTCATATGCAATGTTTTACTTTCCGCTACCACACTCTTAGAATTACATGTGTAGGTTGATTGCCTGACTTGTGCTAAGTTGCTAAAATCTGCCAAGACATAAAACTGGGAAAATGTTAGATTTTTATTTGGTCAAGTAGTCTAATCACCCTCCCTCTAGACCTACTTCCGATCCTACAAATGGTATCAGAGCTTTGGTCTCCATTTGCCTTGATTCCCATAGCTTTGGT